AGCGGGGCTTTGCCTGAGGATAAGTGTCATGTCTTGTTCCCATTTTAGCATCCATTTCTTAAAAGATCAGACCCAGTGCCTTACTAAAATCCAGTGATTTGGCGTGCTTATGTATCTGGGTAACAGCCAAGGGGAAATTTTAATGCAATGTATTTCAGTTCAGGTGAACAAAAGCTGAGTAGTTCAGCTATTGTGTCTGCGGAACGCTCATTTAAATGTCATTGCTGTGGCTGTCTGCTTTTCTTTGCAAAAGAATTCTGCTGCGGGATTGCTGTTCAGTTCAAAGTGGGACCTTCACCACTAAGTAAATAACGATGATGCGTGGTAATACTGTCGGTAAAAGGATGTGAATACATCTGAAGTGCCTTTGTGTTTGCCTTGAAAGAAATGCAGGGACTAAAGAAAACGTTATTGTTGTACATAGTCTTTAGAGCTGTGTGGAAAACTGAACCCAAGAGACTCAGAATTCCTCACTCTGGTGCATTAGTTTAAAAAAATACTGTGAATCTTTGGAAAAAATTCTAGAACTTGGGTGTAAGACCTTGGCACTGATCCTAGTTGCATTGATCCATTTAAAAAAAAAAGAAACAAAACACCAAACCCACTATAACTGGGTGTTCTAGTTCTACAGGATTTTTTCGTTATTCCCAATTTACAGGGATATAGAAGTGGTAGAAGAAACTGGAATAGATGCTGAATAATTTTTTACCTACCACAAAAATTTAAGAAACAATTTTATGATTGCTTTTCAAGTGTTGAACAGAGCTGGTTCCTTGGTGACAATCGTGATGCTGAAGTCACAGGGAATGTCTTCAAAATTTCTCACTGGGTCCAGCGATATTTTTGGGCAGAGGTGATATCTCATATGCTCTTGTCCTGTCTCATTCAGGACAGCTACCTTTCAGCCTTTTCTCCAAACTGACAGGATGGGATTCATATCATCTTGTTTAGCAATTTGAAAGATATGCTTTTGTCCAAGCTGGTCATCTTCAACTCTGTAGTTAAGAAAGATGCCCGTTAGAGACCAGCATCTTCTGAGAGAGGGTCATTTAATGTAGGACTGACTGGACCATGCTGTGAAAAGTGCTGATTTTCCTCCACTAATTGCAAAAGGGGTCTAACAAGATCAGAAACTGGTATCTTGGACTTGATGTTGAACCTTCATGCGACTGTCGTCACTGAGAGAAATCAAACCCTCTCAGCCAGAGAGGCTGTGCAATGTCCCTCTCCTCCCACACGTACCAATCCTCCTGTAACACTGTGAGCCAAGCAAATTCAGTCGTGCGCATCTGCATCCACCCTCTGTGCCTCTTCCAGGGAAACATGGCACCTTCCAAACCAGTAGTTAGGACCAAAAAAACTACAAACCTGGTATATTTGTGTTCTAATATGATTAAAATGCTATCTGCAGCCAAAACTACCAACAGAACCATTTGTAGTAAAGATATTTGGGGTGAATTTTCCTCCTGTTTGTGTAAGAGGGCAAGACAATGTAAATGGTCCACACCGTCCACAGTGCTGCTGAGAGGCAAGCAAGCAGCCTTCTGGGGGTTGTACACATCAGGAAGACGGACAGACAGACGAAGAGGTGAGGCCAAGACTGCACAGAAATGCAGCAACGGAACCAGGGGAAGGATGCAGGAAACTGAGCTCCCGACCTAACCCTGTAGCCAGCTGTGAAATTCCCTGCGGAGAATATTCAGAGCAGCCTTGTGCCATTACTATGTCCTCTATACATTTTGCATGCAACTTCATCAAATTTTAGCATGTTAATGTCTCTAATGTGAATGCATTTACCCCTAGTTTTCATTTTCCCCACACACAATCATCAAAGCCATATAAGTTGCACGGCCACTAAATCAAAAGAAGTCACAGATAATGGGATCTACTGTGTGTGACACTATAACAGGACTAGCTGTGGAAGGCAGATAAAGTCTACTTGCAGCTATAAGCTCCGTCCTGCACGTGTGAAGTCAAAAACATCTTTGGCAATGTCTTTCCTGGAGGGACATTTGACACAGTGTTCCTTGAATATGTATGAATATATCTCAAGCTAAATGAAAAGACATTCCTCCACATCATATTTGAAATTTCTATTTATTAATAAGTGGTGCAGTTTTTAAAGACAGAACATAAAAAATCAGTTAAGAAGTATTGTTTGCATAATATATTGAAATAAACATATTAAAGTTGTTCAAATATTGGACAGTGCCAGAATATAAATTACACATACAGTTTAAAAATTACAATAAATAATATTATAAAGAGCACTAAAGGCCACTTGTATAAAAGTTGTGTTCCCTTGTCAGCCAGAATCTGAAAAGCATCTTTGTAGCATGGAGAAAATTTCAGTGAGCAAGGCACAAATACTAGTAATAATAAGATGCCATAACTAGAAAACAAAATGCAGTTGGCCATGTAACCTTCAGTCTCAGCGTATTCTTGAGGATGGAAATGGGATTCCACTTCTAGCATTTTGCTTCACTTCAGCAGAAAGCTACTAAAAGCTGAATTGGGAAGGACAAGATCTTACAGCCTAAATAATCAGAAGCCACAGGGATACCCAGCATCTTCATTCCCCCAATGCCTGGTAAAACACTTGAAAATGACGCCTTTTTCCTCTGCACCTCTGAAAATGGTCTTCAACAGCGAAGGCCCACATTCTGCGTGCCTCCTGAAAAGCGGTATCACACCAAATTCGTGAGGTGCTCTAGAAAATTTAGGTTCTCAGCTCTTAGGCACCTAAAACTTAGCAGAGGGGGCTGTGGGGTGCAAGGAATCAAGATCCAGCTCTTTCTCACATGCTCTGGACGAAGCGGGACAAATTGAGTTCTTACCTAGGCAGATGTGACACCACTGCCACAACTGGGCTCCCAGCAGGGCTGAATTTGCTGCTTAATCTGCATTTTCTGATTGCTTTAGGCTGTGATCTTGTGAACTGATTGGACCTCGGTGCCCTCCTGAAGGCCACAAGTCAGCAGCCCTGCTACGCACGGGTTCAGGTGGGAATTAGTTTGTGGTGCTGCTGGGCCACGATTTGAAGCAGAAAAATTTCAAACTATTTCCACTCTGAACCGTAACAATGCAGCAAAATTACAGATAAGAACAGAGCAAATATAGCCAAAGGCAGTTTAGGGACTTTTTAATCAATGTTTCCATGTGCTGAGTTCCCTTTTATTTTGACAGGAGCCAGACTGATTAATTCAGTGCAGGGAAAAGCCAAGGCAAGGACAACAGCCGTTACCTGATTAGATTTTTTTTAAAGGACCAGCTCGTTAAATGGAGCATAAATGACATTTTCTATACCTGCATACTTTAGCCAAACGTTCACTTCTGCCTCAGCGAAATATTCTCATTATGAATCTAAAGTGAGGAAGCTTGATTGATACAGTCCATAGAAAAGGCTAACCTGAAGGTGGGTCAGCTGCTGAGCGCGCACAGTGCAGGGCAGCCCGAATCCCTCTTTCTCTGGGGCTGCACTCTGTGTGCAGTGAAGACTCATCCAAGTCTCTGCCCTTGCTTGGGTGTTCTGTTGGAACAAGCATGCCTTTGTGTAATGAGATGATTTATGGTTTTCATCCAGGTTTAATACTGAGAAAAGACTTCCTTTAGGTGACCTGGCATGGAGAGATTAGAAAAGTGAACTGAAGTACTTGAGGGGGAATTGCGCAGGGAGCTGCATGGCATAGCCACTGTCAAAGACAGTCACAAACAAACTTCTCAGATTGCACTTGGGTTTTGGCTGCCTTGATTTTTGATTGCTCGGATCTAGAAAGCGTATTAAGAAGGACCAAACTCAAATGAAATCAGTAGGAATGCCAGGCACTTGACATATAACAAAAGTGAAGCCTGCTTGTCTAGCACATACATACACCAATTTCAGAAGTCTAGCAATGTTAAAGTCAGCTTTCATTCATCCATTTGTCATGTGAAGGTTAAATCTTACGAGTTACTACAGACATGTGTAACTATATCAGAAAACTTGTAGCAGGCGCAATGCTGGCATTTCCAAGAATTACTGATGGCCAAAGAACTCCTCTGAATACACCAAATTATAATGAATTACACTTCTGTCAGCTAGTTTTATTCTCTTCAAGTTTAGCCATGAATCTGCATTGAATACAGATTATCTTTCAGTTCAATAGCTATTTTGTCAATTAAGTAATTACCAAAATTGTGCCTCATATCATCATAGTTACTGGCCTCAGAACAGTTCCATAGACTCAGCCCAGTCTTCAAAGGCTGTAACTGGTCTGCATTATTTACTCAAGTAACAGCAATTTGTTCTCCCTTAAGACCTGTCCCAGAAGGATGTATCATGATTTATCTGCAGAAATAGATGAAGTAAGAAGATCCTAATCCTTTAGATGTCTCTTTAAATAGACAATGAAGATGAAGACAATGCCTGTAACTGGAAGAGAATAGAAGCCCGCTGGATGGAATGTCTGTTATGAGATGTCAACGATACTGGGGAATTAAACATAAAGTTTACTACAGTGAGCAAAACCCCACAAGGTATCTTCCATTGAAGTGCACCCTCTCCAGGCCTGTGCAACACCCAGTTACATACGAGAAGCCAGTAAAGTGTATCTCTGTCTTGTGCTCTGATTGGATGTGCCAGCAATGCTCAGCTGTGCAGCTGCAGTGCAATGTAAGCCGTCATGACAGAAAGTTCACTTTCTAACATCGTACATGGGCCAAATTCTCGTGGCTTTGTTGGTCAGTGCTCTAGCCATGGTGGTGAAGCCACTGGGTGGAGTCATAGGGGTCGTTCTCAAGAGGAGGTGGACATGAGCCATGGTGGCACCTTGGATCACTGGGGTAGGGGTGAGAGCCTTCCCACTGACAGTGGGCGTCTGATCAGCTGACATCTAAGCAAGTCACCCTCTGCTCCCTTTGAAGTTGATAGAAATTTGGTCATTGTAGATAACTGAGTTAAAGATGGCATTAACCTCATCCTAAAGCTGATGTGTGCTTTGGATCTTGTACCCTGTGCTCACCAACTGTACTGAGCAGTTTTCCATTAGCTGTAAAACGGGCATAGCCATCGAACTTGACATTGAACGTATGGTATTTCATGGACACCTGCACTGACATCAGATGAATCCTGCATAGGATATTTGGACAGGCTAGTTTCAGCTATATAGATCCTACATTCCCGCTGTAGTGGTGAGATCTTTGATGCATTTCTGCCCTATTCCCACTGGGTTGGATTGTTTTCCTGCTCTCCCTCAACATATTTCCAATTCCGATGAAAAAATATGTGGCAGAGGCCTAGGGAGCATACTTATTCCTCTGTTGCTCAAGGACAGGTGACAAAAATGGTATTTATTTACTTGTACATTGATCTTAAATATGGCAAACATTCATGGATTTGGAGCAGTCCATTTCCAAGAGACACTGTAAACAGAGAGAAACGGATCCTGAAAGCACCCCACATTGTGGAACTCCCAGCGAACAGAATAGTGATGCTCTGCACACCTGAGGAGCAAAAAGCACTTGTCAAATATCAGTGAATTGAGCCTTACAACCTGTATGTTTGTATGGAAGTATAACTCCCAATTAACAGAATGGGAAACCGAGGCATAGTTACATTATGCAGCTTACTTAGGAGATGTAAGTAAGTCAATAAAAGAGTGGAGTGTATAAACCTGGAGGTCCCTACACTGAGCAACATTGTTTTTGGAACAGAAAGAAAATTTGGCCACATAAGTAACAAATGGGCTGAGCAAAAGATTTTCCACAAAATAGCATTATAGTCACGCTTCAAGCAATTTTCTAAACACCAGTCAAGATTTTCAAAGTAGTTTAAGGGATTTATACTTACATTTTACAATAAATAAATATACCCATGACCAATCCCAGGAGGTGGCTTTGGTAATTTTAATTCTATCTCTAATTTCATTTTGACATTATATTTCATGGGTAGTTGTAGTTGTATAATGGATCACATGAGAAATGTTTAATTTACAAAACAATTTCAGTGCAGTTATTTACTTTGACTCAGCTTTTTCCCTGCTTTGAATATTAGATGTTCTTGGCTAGGTTTTGTAGAGAATCATTTACTTATATTGGAAAATGGATTCAGACGTTATGTTTCCACAAAGGGATACTACTCCTGAAAATACTTTTTACTTTGCTGCTCTGTTTACAAAATTTAGCAAGCACCACCATATCTTGCCTGTTATCAATTCACCATTGTTGTATTGAAGAGTATCAGATAGATATGTATCATAGAAGAAATCAGCTGTACCATTTATATAGGGTAAAGTCATGCAAATCATGCTCAAAACTAAGCTTTTTAGTTTTGGTAGCATGAAAAAAACTGCATTAGTAAATCGTATGAAATGGTGCAGAATGACTACCACTAATATCACATGCATCTTATGCAGCCATTGGTGTTTCGAACTAGTAAGCTTTGGGTGTAGAGTACGTGAGATATACAAAGTATGCTTACATTACATGGAGAAGTCAGCCAGTGACTGCCCCCACACGCACTTTTAAACTGGCTTATTTGAAGGGGTCCATATTGAATCTGAAATCCCATCTCCTGTAGAAGACAAAGGCATGGAGCCACTTGGTGTGAAAGGGTCAGTGTCTGTGTCCGTTTCCCCCTCTGCTAGGTAGCGTTTCTCTCTCATCCACCCTGATCCCCCGTTGGGGCCAAACGGGAAGTCGTCTCTGTCTTGGGAGATACTGAAGCCACTTGGGGAGCGCTCAAGTTCCTCATGGTTGACGGAGAGAAGGGATAATGGAGTATCACTGTCTCTTGTTAAGCTCCTTCTCTGCCTTGGAGACACCTTGTCTGAGTAAGGGCTTTGTAAGTCTCCTTGAGAGTGGTAGCTAACCTGGGAGTCCATTAATGTAAATATAGGCAGAACTGTTGGCCTTTCTGCATATGAAGTTGAGGAAGGTGTGGCTTGCATTTTCCCAGAGTTCTGCCCACCTATTGATAAAGGTTGTGAATGAGTCATACGATCACGTGCTGAGAAACCAAAAGGACTGACTTTGTTGACTGGAACCTGCTGGAAGTTGTAAGGAGTTTCATGAGCACACTGCTCAGTGTATTTATATATTATTGTTTTTAATTCAGAATATTTGTTTTCTTCTCTCTTCTCCTTTGCAGGAGAAGCAGTTTCTTTCAATGGACTTATCTCAGCGACTTGTATTTGCAGCTGTTCCATATGATGCATATGCATATCAACAAGAAAATCCAGCTTCTTCCCCATGTCATTAACCTGAAAAACACCAATGTTATGGTATTGTCTCAAGTCAGTTGTTCAATTAAAAAGTCTATCTATGCTCCCATAGGAGCACTGCCCCCGTCAATGGTGTTCTGCCATCTTTATTGGTCATAAAGGTAATTACAGGTAATCATAACTTTCCCTTGGAAACTTAACTGCAGTGGAAGCCAGTTTATCCTCTAACTGCTTCAAATTAAGAAGATCCATCCCTATGAACTGTGCCAAAAAGATTCTGAGAGTTGCTGGATATTTAGAAGTCCAGCATCCAACAGCAGTCTACAGCATTATGACCAAAGTCTTGATACCATACGGTAAATAGCTATTACCAAAATACAACAGATGCAATTACCTTTGTACACAGACCTACTCTCTAACTCTTCATAGTCCCATGACATCAGGGTTAAATATCAGGACTAATTTCCTTTCTCTTTTGATAGTGCTTTGTGCCTGAACATTTGTATTCCATGAAAGGAACTGGTATGAATCAGCGCCTCTTGCCTCCATCTTAGTTATGTATTTAAAAATTAGAAGGTCTTGCCTTGCTAAGCAATAGGATAGGATGCACAAAGAGGGCCCAAAAATACCTGTGGAGGCAATCCTTTTGAGTGCCAGACCCTGCAAAAGAAGGTGGTGCTCACAGCAAACACCAGAAATGATGAGTATGGATTTTAAGGGAATGAAAAAGTAAACATCATGGTTAGGGTCTTCCTGCCGTATATAATGATATTGCTTCAAGAGGTTTCAAAGTGCACACTTCCCAGTTAATTAAATTCTTTCATAAAAACTAACAACGTAGTTTTGTCATCATTATTACAAGATCTGTGTGAGTCTTGATTGCCAACAGTACAAATCTGCCTGGGTCAGCTAAAGACTCACACAAAATTTATGTCAGCTTTATCATTTCTGTGCAACCGCCTCAGCCTCCATCACTGTCATGAAATTACTTACCTGTCGTTCAACTTTAACAAATTTGCCCATCATACTTTGGTCTTCAGTATCTGCTGTAGATGCTTTGGCTACATATGGATCATTTCTATAAATAATTAATAACTCTATTAGTGTTTAATTTTTCTTTGCAACACAGTAAGTAATTTATATCAGAAAACTGAATTATTATCTTGGTGGTATATTCATATAGCTCTTTGGAACTCTATTTAAGAAAAGACTGAATATAGTTATTTATCATACAATACAAACAGGAGCAAAAGTCCATTCTATGTGATTGCAATGTATTTCTAGAAAAATATATTCCTGATTTTTAATTTAAAATTATTTTGGTTCAAAGTTAAGATTAAGATTAAAAAAAGCAAAAGCAAACAAAAAGTTCAAAATGAAAGTGAAATTAATCTCAGACTTGGTGGAATGATTTCTTTGTGGAAAATGCTGAGATAGTCTAGATAGTGGGTCTACAGACAGCCATGTGTTTTTAAATCTAATCCTTTATAATATGTGTCTTTGAAGACTGAATCTGAGTTTCAAGGCTTAGTGTTTTGTTTTTTTTCTCGATTTCATTTCAAAAGATAATAAGAGGCAGAGACTGGAAATGCTGAAAAGAGGCAGTCAGGCCTGGAGATTTAAAGTAGATTCCAGTATAAATTTTCTTCTGCGTAATTTCGTACTGCCCGTCCATCAGACAGACTGACTTCAGGAGGTAAGGAGATGATCTCTTAAAACTTTTAACGGGTCCAATTCTTCTCTTTCTGACAAAATTCAAAATATAACTGTGAATATATTTTACTAAAGCAGAAACTAAAATATGTCAGATTTTGCAGATTGGGTTACTGATTATATGGGCTTATTCAAATTTTGCAATCTGCTTTGTTTCCCAAATGATCATTGACTCTTCCATATATGTAGGTCTCTGTCTTCAAATTTACATGTTTTTAGATTTTTCACTGGGTGGGATAAACCACATAGAGCCAAGTTAATTTATTTTATGTAAGATTACTTTTGTTCTAAGCAACTATAACATCTTTGGGGACAGATTGTTGACTGTCTTGTGTGGTTCCCCATGGAACACAGATTGATACTTGTAAATAACAGAAGAAATGTCATTTATTATTGAATTCAGGCTATCAGGGATGCAGCAATACAATAACATGCTGTAACTTTCACACCCAGAAACCTGGTATTGCAATTTATTTTCAGTAATTCTCTCCAATCAGTGGTTTAAAAGAAGCATCATTAAAACTCTGTGCTTCCTATTTAGTGGGGACTATAAGAAAACTTTTTTCACTTCAGGAAGATAACTGATTTACCTTCAAACTATTGGTGAGTTTTATTGAGTTTTTGACTGGATTTACTAGTTGAATGTCAGTAATTCAACACATCAGCAATCATAAGTACATATTTCATATAAAATCACATTTCCAAACTGTTGAGAAACTAAGCTAGAGAATGAAGAAGCCATTAAGTTTAGATTTCCATCATACATTGTTCTTAGGGAAACTAGTCTCTTTCTGGCTCGACACTTACAGGTGTATATGTTGTAGCAACATATACTCTCAGTATCATTACTAACACAGTGTACTGGCTGGATGAATGCAGGGCATGCTTATTGATGTGAATAAACTTTTTATTTCACTTTGGTCTGTGCAAAATACTAGGCATAAAAAATTCACCTGGGAGACTGTTGTGAAGGGTAAGAAAAGGCTCCTCCCTTTTGGGATTTCTTATGCTTGGGAGTAGATGGAGGTCCAGGTGTAAAAATCATATCTACTCTGAAAAAAAGAGAAGTACAACTGCATGAGTCCATCCCTAAATGCTAACACATGACAGAGAATACTACGCATCTCTGCAGCAAACAGTAGCAAAGGTTCAAAAAAGAAGCATGTT